ATTAGGGTGGTGATCATGGGAGTAAAACATAGATTAAAGTTATGCTTTTCGTGAATGACAAAAAAGGAGTAGCTCCCACTGTAGCAAGATGGAAAGATAGTTTATAAATCTTTGCTTTCTCACTGCTGTTTATTCAAGAAGTCACCATTTTCCATAAATTACAATAAACAGTTGGGCCTGGCTCAGTTCTAGAATTTCTTCCCTGCTTAAGTTATTAACAAAATTACAAAACAAAAGTTACAGTTGTAATTTCTAGATAGTTCTGGGTAATTTATATTTAATGAATTAAAACTCTACTGTTAGTTTGTAAGTTAAATAGGTAATTTTTTTGTTGTGCTTGCAGTCCTCTAGTTACTTGTATGTTTGGCTGGGGGTTCATTAAGCAGGTGACAAACATATCTGTTTCCTCTCTAGATTTGGAGAAAATAAAGGCGTATATTGATTCATTTCGTTTTGGTGCACCTCCCCATGCAGGTGGTGGAATAGGTAAGTACCTGTATTTTATTTTGTTCTGTGTTAGCCTGAGCTTAATTTAAACTGCTCAATCTCATGCAAAGTTCAATTCAATAATCAGAGTAGTAACCTTGTTAGGTAAATTTGTGGGGCTGCTTATCCTGGAGGATTTAAGGAGAGAAGCTAAAGTGTAAGCATTGTCATAAAATAAAATAAATAGACAAAATATTAATGGCATAGTCTGACAAGTTTGAAAAGTTGGTGATCCAAGAAAAAATGCTGATTTATTAGCCAGACACATCACTTTAATATTTCACCCATGAGAAAAATTTAAGGAAGCAAGGAAGTGCTGTGTTATGTATGGATTTATCATAACCTACTAATGCCAGAAGCCACCAGTCTCTTAGTGCACTTGAAGGTGTTTTGCAGGGAGGAGAAATAAGTGATTGCTTCTGCCTTATTCAGGGATTTGACTGAATGTCAATGATCAGTTTGGCTGATGCACATTGTTTCTGCCAAGGTACTGCAGCTTTGTGTCTTGGGTGTGAGTATTTTACATATTAAAATGAAAAAAGGTAGGTTTTAGGCATCTTAATGATAACAATTTACAGTTATGCAAATGGCTTTCATTAGCAGGATGAAACCTGTTCATACATACGGAAGAAGGACGCTTTGTAGGTCATGATCAGTAAACACAATGATTTACTTGAGTCAGTCTTCATTTGCCTTACTTGTATAAAAGTGTATTTGGTTCATTCTTGGCACATTCTCAGAACAACTTCCTGAGTATGCCTTCAGTAAATGCATCAGATCTGCAATGTGCTGTTGAGACAGCTGGTTTGAAATACCTGCAAGATGTAAGCGTGGGTTACTTGTGAGCAGAGGAGAGATGTAGCGTCTGCAGATGATCCAGTCATTTAGGCCAGTTAGAACAGACATCAAGGAAGCAGAAGCCACACCTCTTCTGCAGAGTAAGTGTTCTTCCTGGCACATCCCAGAGGTCAGGCCAAGTACCAGCCAAACAGGAGATGCTGTGAGAATGAACACAGGATTCTGGCTGCTTCAAATGGAAACCTTGGCATAGAAGGGCAGTGTGCGAAAACCAGTATATGCATCTGGGCTTCATCTCAGCATGGCTGGGATGCACATGGACACTCATGGATTAGGAAGTCCTTCCGTCTTCCACGATACACACACAACCTCTGAGATTTCAGGAAGAACACAGTGACCATTTACATGGGTAATCTATGTTTTGGTACTGGGAATGGTTTGGGATAAAATTCTCCAGCTGTCAGTTTTTACTGTTGTTGCTTATGGCACTAAATGTCTCTGACCCTGAAGCTGATAAGACCGCTTTGGACTATACTTCTGGTCTTGTATTCAAGATACAGTTCTCCTGTTTACCCACTTCCTGTTTCAGTTTTCTCCACCATCTTTCTTGAAAGTCCTGAGTGATTCAGAGCAGGACTGAGTGTCTAGTACCATAGCTTATTGATACATGTTCCACAGAAGTCTGTGTCCTGGCAGGAGGCTCTATGTAAAATCCTGAATTTTTGGTTCTTGCTCCTTTCTGCAGTCAGCTAATGTGTTCATCTCAGTCCTTGCTCACAATGCCACGTGAGGCTGGCTGTAGGGATAAAGTACCTTTAGCTTCTAAAGAAGAGAAAAAGACTGTGCTGATATTTGTGGTTTTTTAATTTATTGTAGGGCTGGAAAGGGTAACCATGCTGTACCTGGGGCTGCACAATGTTCGTCAGACCTCCATGTTCCCACGGGATCCCAAGCGCCTGACACCTTAACACGAGTGGGTTTTGAAAGTTTGAGGTGATCTGTCCTGCAAACATGATGTGATGGCAAGCATAGCCCCTGCTATGGATGAACCTGTATTGATTTGAGTATTATAATATGCAATAAAAAAACCCACCTCATTTCCTAAAGTGCCACAATATTTTTTTTAACCTTGGCTTTTTATTTAAAAGTCTTTTAACAGGTCAAGAATCTTTGTATTGGCAACAGTGCACATTTTAATGAAAATGTGATACTTGGAGTTAGTTTTCTAGTATCACATTACATGGTATTGTGTTTCTTAACATTTTAATAAATTACACAATTTTAACTTATGTCAGCGAGATGGAATATTCTGAAGGACAGGATTGGCTCAAAGCTAAAACAACTGGATGCTTGTAATTTAAAATCAGGAGGAAACCAGCCAGTTGTTAATTTACGTGAGTGACAAGTAGAGAAGCAGGTAAGAAGAACTACATTCTTAACAAAAAGTCTTCATATGAAATTGTGAAAACATTGCAATAAATCTCTCAAAGTAAATCAGAAACAATATCTGTTTTTCTGACTTTTGCTTTGTGTCCTCACAAATAATAAGGAATCCATTTGGGCTGGTTGGTTGTTTTTTTCTTAATGATGCGTAAAGTTTAAATTGATTTTCTTTCTATATTCCCTTTTTTTTGAAAGTTGCATAGATGCCATGGGCCTGTTCTTTATTTTGTTACCCTTTGAAAATGGATAGAAGGTTACACACACTTATGGAATATGCAAAGAATATATTCTCAGAAAATAATCAGATAGTGGGTTTGAGAGCAGGTCCTGTTTTCCTACCTGACCCAGCCTCTAGGATACCAACAAATCAGCAAGGATTTAATGTATCCATTACCAATGGAAGAAAAGCAAATAATGTAAGCCAATCTGTTTCATTTTTTTTTCCTTTATAAATGCTTTGAACAACACAACTGCTGTACATTTAGAGAAATTGGGTGTTTCTGTATGTCACAGGACTTCTGAAATTCTTTCCAAACATCCTTTTTCTCAAATGAATCACCTACTTGAACCTCCTCAATCTGCAGTGATGCACAAATCTACTTCTCTTCCTCTTCCAACTCAAAGGATGTGCCGTGCATTTGAAGAGGAACTAGTGTATTAAAAAATTCCTTTTCTGGACTGCAGCTGATAGTTGTTTTTCAAATGTAAAACATTTTAAAGTGTGGATGCCAAAGAGCAAAGGACTAAATTCCTTACTTGGGCACTGCGCTAGAGTTACTGTAATATTTATAAATATTTGTAATTCCCTGACTTAATTTTTGCTTAACATTTTTCATGGTAAAGCATTCAGTAGGAGGTATGGGTTAGATAGTCTGTATTATTGTTGCTACCTTGATTTTTAAATGTCAGAGAAGTCACATATTGGTTAAGCTACAGAAAGGTCAGTGAGGCTGTGTATAAATTGTGTAGAATTTCACAAAAGGGCAAATCATCTTTTGCAGCTGCCACTGAACAAGACTTAATTTTAATGTTTTGTGACAAGAGTTCTCCATTAGAAAACAATCATACTGAAGGTCAGTTAGGTAAAGTACTGGAAATGTAAAAGTTAAACTTTGTTTAGAAGTCACAAAATTCAAGGCATAACACACTTTGCAGCTTTTCTTATCAGTCTGTTGTAATTTATTCACCATGGGATCTTCCCAAAATTACTAACTTAAAAATCTTAACAGTGTACCCAACTGTACTTTACAAAGCTAAGTGGATTATAAACACAGCTTATCATCACAGACTTAGTACTGATGAATCCAAGTCTCAGTTGTTCAGCTAAGCCAACTGGAATTAATTAAATTTAATTACTTTTGTTCAAATGGAACTGGTAATGTATTCCACATCAGAAGCGTATCCTTCCAATACATAGCAAAATTACTGACTTACATTTCAGGCCAACAAAGAAAAAAATCTGAGAACTGTTTCTTGCCTTAGATTTGGCAGCAAGTTTTGTGCATGTGTGCCTGTAACAACTCTGCTTATCCCAGTTCCGTTAAGAGTTGCTCAAGCTTAAGTTCTAGTTGGATTTATTCACAAGAACTAAAATTCTGATCCTTTTTTATGCCATATCCTTTCATGCAGTTTTTCTTAGGTAACTGAAAACAATTATGATCATAAATCAAAATGCAAAATGCATTTGTCCTGAATGTAATCTTAACAGGATACCTTGGTGGGAGCTGGGCATTGTTAGAATTTTGTTCAAAACCTTGCAAATACTAATTTCAGAACTTCATGTTGCTTTGATAAGTAGTTCTAGAGAAGTCAAACCTGTATAGTCCTTTATTTCCAGGAACTTGCAGAAAGTTTAGCATTTTAAATGGAGTCCACTTCTTCACCAGTTAAAATTATTTTGGGTTTTTTTTCCTCTCATGATACAAAAAATGATAGTTACAGTTATGCAATTTTTTAAACTAGAGAACTGTATAAGATATTGGTGAGGAATAGCCAGGGAGCCATCTGCTCAAAACAAACACAAAACCACAGTTTGCTTCTGAAGTTTAACTACAGCATTTTCCTGTGAAAACTCCTGTGTGTTCACTGAGCTGTCTGAATCTGCCCAGCAGGAAAGATAACTGGGGCTGTTCTTTTTGGAAGCAGAGCAGTCTGGTTCCCCATGGCTGCACACACACATGTTGGGGGTTAGCCCCGGTGGGCAGCTGAGCACCACACAGCTCTGCTTCTTGCCCAGTGTGACAGGGGAAGAGGAAAGAAGGAATAAAAGCAGAAAAACTTTGAAAACTTTGGGCTTCCACCTCGGGCCAGTCAATTTGAGGTGTATTGTTCACCTCCATGTGAAAGCAAACTGTGGCCTGGCTCTGCTGCCAAAGGGACAGAGGGGAGCCCATTGGTGTAGTAGCCATTGTGCCACACTGCTTGGCTGCCTTGGACTCCAGATCACACTGGGGTTCCAGCATATCCTGTACAGTGGCATGATTTCATTCAGGCCACAGAGCCCACTGTTCACCTACACAACTCCTCCCATACATCCTGCAGCCAACGATGGGTCAGCCCCCTTAGAGCGTCTTCCCATGTACCACAAAGAACCTAGAAAAATGAGAGAGCCTGGAAAACCAGCACATTTTTTATGGACAGCCATCCCTAGAGTACACAACTTGCCCAAACAGATTTGAATGATTTACTGTTCCTTGTTTGGGTATTACCAAGATCAGTGTACGGTGGAGATTTTTTTTGTTGTCTTTTTTTGTAGAAACAAATTATGAAAAACCAGCAGAAATTATCTAGGGTGAATTATTATTTCTTTCAAAATAAACAAGCCTCACAAACAACTTGTGTTTATGTACATTTTTGCTAGTGTGATCTCTGGATGGAATTTATTAACTGCAAGTTTTTAAAAAGTTACCAAGTTCAGTCTGCTGCTTTCTTAGGATTTAAAAGAGCATGTAAACAGGATAAATTACAAACAGTTGGGTAGTTTTTCTTTTACTTTGCCACCTCTTTAACCCTTGGCCATCTTCAAAAAGAAAAAAACAACAAAAATACCCCTCAAAAAGCTTTAATTATGTACCAAAGCACAACAATCTGCCTTAAACTAATACTAACTTTCAAAAAAGACTAACCCAGCCAGAACCTCTGACCTCTGCAATCAGAAGCAAGCAAACCATGCAAAGCTGAATCTCACTATTTGGCAAACCAAACTGCCAGGCAGCCTTTTCCATTTTACAATTAGAGCTCTGTGATGTGGCAAGTCCACTGTAACTTAAAAAGAACAAGTGCTGCTGCTGGGCGAGTTTTAAAG